TGTTAATTCAGCTCTCCTTCCAAGTTAATCTCGGCAGATAAATCACCGTGGACAGGGAATCCTCCCACTCAGCTCCTGTTAATCCTGCAAACCAACGGCCTAACGGGTAGGTGGTCTTAGCTGGATAAGCAGCAGGAAAGCTTGCCAGACAGTGATATCAATGGCAAGCTATGTGGTTTTAGCTAGTTAGACTCCTGCAGTTACCCCAACACACACACTGGGCTCCACAAGCCTTGGCTCTTGTGCCAACTCCTAATACTTTCTATAATTAAGTAAGCAGGGTGCGTCCCTCCAGTTCAACAATCTATCTCTGGGATTTCCATGTGTAGGTGGGATGCACGGATTGGTTTGGATACTCTTAAGCATGTTGATGGGTTTCCGCTTGTGTCAGACATCCGCCTGACCAAAAAAAAATGTTAAAAGCATTTACAATTTTGATCAAATAATAATCTTTCGCAACCCAGTAGAGCGCACAAAACGCCTCTCAGACAATGGATGGCAATTACAGAGACAGCATATTTGCAGGCAAACGTGGCAGACCATTTGCACGTATAAAGGCCCTCCAAACAGCCTGTGAAGTGACGGACCAATTTATAGCGGATTGTTGACCAGCGCACTGAGAGACTGATCTGACGGATTCAGTTCTTCTACGTTGGTGAAACGGTTGCTATTTTTTTTTCCATCTGAATAATTTCCCAGTAAAACAACTGCAACTTCTTAAGAAACCACCTAATTAAAACCTAATTCAAGAATCCTTCACTAATCTTGAGATTTTCAAAAATGTAATGAGATGGAACCAAAAAAGTAATGAAATGGAACCTTTTAATGAGGCGACGTGTGATTAAACTCGTTTAAAAAAAATCTTATGAATCATTCAGACCATCCTTAGAAAATTCAAATGATTTGTTCTGTGCCCACACAATAACCTGTAAAGGATTTTCCATTTGAAACAGGCCTTTTTTTTAAATATAAAGTCAGCAGATTGGTCCACCCTCCACCTCCCCCCCCACACGCACACACAAGCGTGCGAATAATTTCCACTCTGGATTTAACAAAAGGTGTAAATATGCAGCGATCTCAAGATACGTCTAGAGCTCGCTACCCATTATCCAACAGCTGATAGCATTTTTTAAAATATATCCCTCAATTGATATTCCCACGTATGTATGTAATGCACACAAATGCCACCAACTCGTTACTTTATACACAAAACACGTAGTTAACCCACTTTACAGTATATTCTGTGCAGCGCTCTGAGGCGTCTCAATGGCATGATAAGGCGCTATAAGGAACGCAAGGATTATTATTATGATGATTATTGCTTCCGTCAAGTGCAGCGTGTTACTCATTAAGCGCTCAGGGTTCTGGTTTGTGACGTGTAAATCGAGGCAAAGGCAGGGATATCAGAACCATATGCGATTCCAGACACATAGCAAAGGAGCAGTCTTGCAGGGTGGGGAAACTGCTATCTTCGCAATAATTTCAAATGCACAGAGCCAGCATTTGAGGTCACCCGAGGACACATTTCAGGGCAGACAGCAGAAGGGCAATTCCTTTCACAGAGGGCAATTAACATTGGAGCTACCAGGAAAGGCGTGGTTGAGATCAGGATTCCAGGACCCATTTGAGAAACAGCTTGACATGAGGCAGGGAGGGTGGGTCTTCTGGAAGGACGAGACTAAATTCTTTAAAAGAAACCAGATTCCAAATTCAGCCTGAATATATTTTTCATAATTCTGAACATTTTAAAGCTAAAATGGTCTTACAGGCTCTGCAAACATTGCGATGTAGAAACAGCACCAATTACTGCCTTGAACGCTGCTTTAAGGACATTTACATAGACAGTTTTGTGAAAAAATGTTTGGGTTTTGTATCCCGTTTGATTTTTTTTAACATTGAGTAGAATGCGCCAGTAACAGTCACGATAATCCTGCAGCACAGCCATCAGCTTTACAGGCATGTTATTACCATAAGAGTTTCAAGATGCTCAGAAAGGCATTTTGCACTAAAACGTGGAATAGGATATTTTTCAGTGGAATTGTACTGTAAAGCGATTCTATTTTGTTTTAGAGGCGAATGCGGCATTCGATTTACGTGCTGCAATGTCCCACAAACAGCCATGACCAATTTTATCTCGGAGAGTGTTGGCCAGGGCACTGGGAGAAACTCCCTTTTCTTTTCGAGTCGTGCCACGGGATCTTTAATGTCCGGCTGAACATCAGGGCTGAGGGGACCCCGGTTTAACATCTCATCCGAGGAACGACACCTGACAATACTGTGCACCCACAGCACTCTACTGGGGTCAGCTGAGTATGTGAGTTCAATGTCCTGACATGGGGCTTGAACCCACAACCTGCAGGCTGATACCCTAACAGACCTGTATCCTTACAGCCTTGCCTCACGATCAATCGAGAGCGCGGCAGTGCGGGATGGAGTTTTCTGAGGAAACCCCATTAAAAACGTGAGCTTAATAACTACCATTGCATTGGCAAAGATTTTTTTTCCCCCGTGTTGGTGGAAAACCCATCGTGAGTTGGGCTTCACTGAAGAAAGACTTAAATGAGCGTCACACCGGAGAAACTCCGCAAGTCCATAGGCAAAGCTTTTAATTAACGAGTGTCAGCAAAGAGGGCAAGATTGACGGGCTCCCAGCAGCAGTGGTGTGTTAAGCACAATTTATTCGTCACAGAAAATGCAGAACGATTTTCATTTAAGTTTGCTCTCAGCGTTTCTCAACAATGCCGACACTCTTCTCCTGCGGGGGACAGACCACCCACTGTGCCAGCTCTTAAGCTGTTCCCCCTCGTGTCGTCCACCTCCCCCCTCCCCATCAAGAGCTCGGAAACCCAAGCAACAAGCAGTCAATGGCATGATTTTGTCTGCCGTAATCTGTCTTTGTTTTATCTTTGCCTCCGTTTCTCAAAATCCTTTCACCTTGTGCCCTACCCTCCCCACTCAAATCCCTCCCAAACACTACCTTTGCCTCTCTGACATTCAGCCACCTATGCCCCCCCGCCCCCCCCCCTACTCACTCCACACCGACTGCATAAAGCATTGAGACATTATGCACAGAGCAATGGCTCATTGTTGTCATTCTAATGTGTGGCAAGGTCACACACAGCCCAGGGACAGGTTAACTAAACTTTGGAACACACTTAATGCATCTCCTCGATGTCAATCTGATTGTCTCTATCAGTGAACTGAGCGATGGGGAAATCAAATGCTGCAAGTAATGGGAGAAAAAATAAGGGCAAGATGCTGATACACTGCTACGTTCCGTGCTGTATCCAGCGGAGGTGCACTGCTAATAAAACGTCACGCCTCTTTGAAAACCAACTCTATTGATTGTACACTGGAGGGAAACTTTAATTAACCACAGGTTCAGCAAACTGAGCACACTGCACAAACTCCACTATCACTGTATCCTGGCTCGGTTGGTAACACTCTCGCCTCTGGATCAGAAGGTTGTGGGTTCAAGCCCCACAATGACACATGAGCATTTACTCTAGGCTGACACTGCAGTGTTGAAATCCTTTACACGAGACATGAAACCAAGTCTGCTGCTTGCTCAGGCGTACATTAGAAACCCCGTGGCAACATTTGGGAAGAGAAGCTACTTTCTCCCGGCATCCCAGCCAACAATCAATCGTCTGGTTAAAATTGCTCAATTTGTCTTTGGGTTGTTCTTTAGTTTCAACGTCTAAGGCTAGGAGAAATTTAAGGCCTGTGTTCAGGTAGATGATAATACTCGTATTTCCAATTATTCTCTTCCCTTACCTCAACCCTGGTCCGTCCACCCACGCCTCACTTTCTGAAACAAAGATCAATATTTGGCCAAAACTGAGACAGGAAATGGATCAACGGTATAACGTTACATGGGTTAGTGCCAGGATACTAGGGTTCTATCAAAAGTGCCCTGCATATGGGCAGATAATAATGTACTTTAAAAGGTTAATGACTTTGAAATACGGTACTTTATGTAACCCAATAAATTCAAGCTAATGCTTTGTGCTGTGCTACAGCCATAATCTATAATTAATCAGTCTTAAACGCTTCATACAGTATGTGCTTAAATCATTTGCATAGTTGAAACTTACAACCACACGCATATACACTGTTTCTACATATCTACATTCCCTAATAGTCATGCAGAAATATTACTGTTATTCTGAACTTTATGACAGCAACTTGCATTTATATGCACCTCAAAGATTTACTTAGTGGGAGCCTGAAATGGGGTGGGTCAGAAGGTGGTTGAAGGTTAAGAGATAGGTTTTGTAAAAAGAGAGGGATAAAGAGAGAGACAGTTTTTAATGACTGCTAGACAATTTCAGCTGGGTACAAAAAATCTAACTTTGGAATACAGTACCTTATGTAACCCAACCAATTCAGGATAATGCTCTCTCTTTCCCTCTCTCTCTGTCCGTCTCTCAACCCGAGATCTTTCGATCTTGCAAAGGACTCGAATGCCAATGGAGAGGACGCAGACAGATCAAACTCAATCCGCAGAAGAGTCGAGGGCAGACATGTGTATTCTTGATATCTTTAGTTTGAGCGTACATACTTTTCTTTTTAGAGAGGGGAAGCCGACTTATTCTCCTTGGGGTGGGGTGGGGTGTGTGGGGGGAGGTAAGCAGGGTCTCCTTGGAGCTAAATTGGATCCAAGGCAACGGAATGTCGGAATCGGGCCAGCCGTCTGTTTCGGGTTTGGTAGTCGGGTTCCTGAGCCAGCTGGGTCCATGGTATTCCAGGGCACTGCTGATGGCAGCACAGGACTATAGCTCATTGGCAGGACTTGGAAGAACAGACCAGTCACAGTGGAGCAGGAAATCAACCCACTTCAGCTCCTGTTAACCCTGCAAACCAAAGCCCTAACGGGCAGGATGGTTCTAGCTGGACAAACAGAAGGAAAGCTTGCTTACTTCAACCTCCTCACTCGCACGGACGGTAAAGCTAAAATGACAAAACAGGGAACGTTCACAATTTGGCAATTCACCACTTGCTCGTGGTGGAATTGACCACTTTACCCACTTGTGCCCATTTCTCTCACCTCCACTTCGCACTCGTAGTCTGTGCCATCCAACAAGGTTATCTTGCAGGGCATGTTCTTTGGTTTTTTGGACCCCTTCAATGGAGATTTGGGGGTTTTGCCCGGCGTCGTCCTTTCTGATGTCCTGTCGTCATCCGTTTCCCCAGTTTCCTGTTCCTCAATTACTTTTGGAAAAGCTTCTGGTTTTTTATCTTTCTCAGCATCCTGTCAGGCAAAGGAGATAGATATTGAAGGAAACCCCTTCTTAAGCTCACGGTACAATACCTTACTTTGCAGCTCACAGCAAATTACCAGCTTCCAAATTAAGGCTGAATTTAATGATAATAATGCTTCCATTTCATAGATCGCCTTATCACGTCAACACGTCTCAAAGTTTTCTGTAAAGTGGAGGAAGTGCATATTTGTAGGCAAACTTTCCACACACTGCTGCACAATTTTTAGTCTGGATTCAGTTCGCGGTAACAGTAATAACAATAGCAATCAATAACAATATAATCCTTGCATAGCTCCTTGTGCGTCCAAAGGACTGCCTCAAAGTGCTTCACGGGAGTTTACCGCAAAGTGTAGTGTCCGTGTAATTTTGTAGGTGGACTGGATGTTTGCATTGCTACCTGTGCGTGTGAGTGTGAGCGTGTGTGTGTCCTGCCTGCAATGTAAATTGCACCATCAAGAGTATCTAAGTTGCGCAGAGAAGCCAAGCCTACTTGTGGCTGCTCAGTAAAGCCCCAAAGTCCCTTCAGGCGCTGCCCTCACCTGCTCCTGTTTGCCGCTGTCCAGTCGATGCTCTTTGCTGGCTGCTATCTCCTGGTTCGGTTGTTCGTCCAGAGCATTCTTCAACTCAGAATCCATGGCGGATTCAGTTGTCATAGTTACAAATTATTCTGTGTAAGTGGAGGGTGGGGGAGGAAGAAGGAGAGAGGGGAAGAAAATCATCACATACTAAGTATAAGATGAAAGGCAACTTGAAAAAGCTACAGAGCAGAAAAAAAAAGAACAGCAATATTTCGAGCATAAAAATGAGACAATTGGCTGTTCGACTTTCAACCCTGCCAGTATTTTCTATCCTTTATTAGAAAAATGGTGTCATAATAAATTTCCCATCACATACTGGATAAAAGAAACGAGGCGCGCTAAATAAAAGAATCACTTACTCCTGAAAAGAAATTACGTCGTCGTGTTTTGCCCGTGAATGCTAAAGCTCAGGAAGTTAGCGGCAAATGCTCTCGAAACTGGATTGTGTTGCAGCAACTGCAACTGGTGAAAATGTTTTTTTTGGGGGGGAACATTTTATGATACGTTACATCAATTACATTCTACATTTTTGTTGCACAGGGAAAAAAAAAGCGGTGCAGTGTTCTGCTTCACTTAAGGATCGCAAAAACAACAACTTGAATTATTAAACCTCTCACATCGACACTGTAATCCGCATGAAACCGACCACCTGCTCTCTCGACCCCATCCCTGGAGTCCTGTAGCTCAGTGGTTAGAGCACTCGCTTTGCAAGCGAGAGATCTGAGTTCAATTCCAGGCAGAGGGCGAAACCTTGGGCAAGTTTCCTTACTCCACACAGAGCCTAATAATAATCCCTCCAAAAACCAAAACAATAATAAATTGGTCATTTTCAATCTACGACTGTTTGTGGGACATTGCTGTGCGCAATTGGCTGCCGCGTTCGCCACAATATACAGTCAATTCACTTTACAGTGTGTTCTGTGAAGCGCTTTGGGACGTCCTCCTGACGTGAAAAGCGCTATATCAAATGCAAGGATTATTATTATTATTATTATCCCTACCCCTCTCCTTACCTCCCAGCTCCACCTCCTTGCCCCTCTACTCACAGACATCATAAACCTCTCCCTGTCCACTGGTACTGTTCCCACCCCATTAAAAACCGCCATCATCACTCCTATCCTTAAAAAATCCTCCCTGGATCCACCTCTGCTCTCAAACTACCGCCCCATCTCCAACCTCCTTTTCCTCTCCAAGTTCCTGGAACGAGTTGTTGCTTCCCAGCTTTGCTCCTTCCTCTCCCACCACTCCCTTCACAAACCCCTCCAATTGGGTTTCCGTGCCGCCCACAGCACAGAAACAGCTCTGGTCAAAGTGACAAATGACATTCTGTCCATCTGCGACCAGGGCTCCCTCTGCCTCCTCATCCTCCTTGACCTCTCTGCTGCCTTTGACACCGTTGCCCACTCTATCCTCAACCATCGCCTTTCCTCTTACCTCAAACTTCACAGCTCTGTCCTTGACTGGTTCAGATCATACCTCTCACACCACCGCCACTTCATCTCCACAAATGGTTTCTCCTCTATCCCCCGCACCGTCTCGTGCGGCGTTCCTCAGGGCTCTGTCCTTGGTCCCCTCCTCTTCAATATCTATATGCTCCCTCTTGGTGACATCATCCACAGACATGGGGTCAACTTCTACATGTATGCGGATGACACCCAACTGTACCTCTCTGCCTCCATCCTTGACTCCAGGACCACTGCTGTCCTGACAAAATGTCTATTGGACATCAAGTCCTGGATGAGAGCTAACTTTCTTCAGTTGAACGTCAACAAGACCGAGGATCTCCTGATTGGCTCCCGTCAGCGCCTCCTCACCTCAGGTGCTGACATTATCACCATCCATGGTTGCATCCGCCACCTTACTAAGTCAGTCCAGAACCTTGGGGTCTTGTTTGACCCTCAACTATCCTTTCTACCCCAGCCTGCTTCACATCCCCCGCCTCGCCCCACTATTGGCGGGCGAGCCTTCTGCCACTCTGCCCCCACCCTCTGGAACTCCATCCCACAGTCCCTGCGCCTCGCCCCGTCCCTTGCCTCCTTCAAGACCCATCTCAAGACCCTCCTCTTCAACCGTGCTTTCGACCTCCCTGCTTTCCTCCCTGCCCTCTACCCTCCCCGATCCCGACCCCCAGCTCGGGACCGAAACCCTGTCTATCCAACACCTTGGGACGTCCTCCCGACGTAAAAGGCGCTTTACAAATGTAATGTTGTTTTAATATAGCGCCCTTCACGTGGGGTAGCGTCTCGGAGCGCTTGACAGTGACCCCAAATCAGGGTGTGAGGGAGCGGGAGAGACAAAAAGCAAAGCATCGGTTTCGAGGCTAGCTTTTTAAAAAAGATATCGTTAATTAAGTATGAGTTTTGGAAGGGTAGGGGGAGAGGGTGTGACCGAAAGCCAGGTTTTCCACAGATCCTAAAATTTAAGAACTCTTTAAGAACAGTTTCTACGCATCGTTAAATCTTAAATCACAACAAAAAGAAAGTAAGGAAGAGATGGAACTCCGGGTCCCTGAGCGTGAGGGCACATCTGTGGTTCATTCCGATCAGAATCAGGTTCATTCAAATCAGAAATTCGGTGTAAGCTCGGGATCTTTTGGTTTGTCAACTACATTTTTAACCCACGATTTTACAAGGACCTTCACAGAACCGTAGAAATCTACAGCACAGAAGACAACCATTCGACCCATCCCCAACCCTCTCACCATTCAGTCAAAGAGAACAACCACAAAATTATAATAATAATATCACTCAATCCACGACTGTTTGTGGGACACTGCTGTGTGCAATTGGCTGCCGCGTTTTGTCCACAAAATACAGTCAATTCCTTTGCACAGTGTCTTCATTTTCCTTTATTCTGTGAAGCGCCTTGAGGTGTCTCAACGACGTGATAAGGCGCTATATCAAATGCAAGGATTATTATCATTATTATTATTCCACAAGCCGTAATGTGGTTTTTCTTCCCTCTCTGCTGACCTGATGCATGTTGAGAGGATCGTTTCATGCCATTACCCTGACTGACTGCTTGACTGCTCTGGTTTATTTAATGTGCGGCATTAATGCAGCTCATGTGATTGCAAGGCAGTTAGGTTTAAAAACCCGGTGTGCTGCTGGAGTGATTGCAACTCATTGCCGCCTCCAGGAATTTTCCACAGCTTTTAAGCATGCTACTCTCTGCTCTGTCCTCCTGCACACTGTTCGGGCCAGAACCCTTCAATAACCTCTGCAAGATTACTGTGAGCACAGAGGGCAGTGGGGCGGGGATGAGGAGTTGATTGACCGAAGCCATGGTCAAAGAGAACAACAACAACAATTTAGATTTAAATCGCGCCTTTCACATCAGAAGGATACTGGGACACTGCTGTGTCCAATTGGCTGCCCCATTTCGCCCACAAAACAGACTGTCAATTCACTTTACAGTATATTAAGTGAAGCCTTTGAGACGTCTCGAAGACATGATAAGGCGCTATATCAAATGCAAGGATTATTATTATTAATATTATAATGCAAACCGATTTACACAACTGACTGGCTAGAGCTGCTCCGATTGGATCTGGTTTCATTCATTTAATTAGATTATTTAATTTATAATTTAATTAGATTGGTTTCGCCTACACTCAATCCACTTTATAATATGTCCTGTGAAGCACTTCGAGATGTCTCAATGACGTGATAAGGTGCTATATCAAACACAAGGATTATTATTATTTTCCATCTCATATTTATGCCCTCTCATGTTGGACTCACCAACAAGTGTGAACAGCCCATTAAGGTCCACCATATCGATTGGTCTCAATCCCTTAGAATACCTCCATCGGGTCCCCTCTCGATCGCCTCATCTCCAGAGAGATAAGCTCCAACCTGTCTTTCTTGATATCAGTATCCCTTCATCCCTGGTAACATCCAGTCAATCTACACTGCGCTCCCTCCAATGCTGCAAATCTCCTTCAAGCATGGTCTGAAAATGGGGAAGGAGGGGGCAAAGCCGAGGGATTGAGGGAGAGAACTCCAAGGTTTTGGGGCTGAAAGCATGGCTACTGATGATGGAGCAAGGGGGATGAGGGACAAGCAGGAGGCCGGAGCCAGCCGAGCAGAGACGGCAGGTAGGGCAGTGGGAAGTAAGCAGGTCGGTGAGTTAGGGAGGTGCCAGGGCGTGAAGGGATTTGTAGACGATATATGTATACGCAGTGTGTGGACAATGTGCATATACTTAGCATATAAATGTGTGCGTGTGTCATGCGCATACAGTGTATCTATGGTGAGTATATACCGTGTGCATATGTGTATGTGTACATAGCCTATAAATGTGTGTGTAGTATATATTAGTGTGTGCAATGTGTATATAGTATATACTGGGTTTTTATAAGTGCCTGACGCAAAACAACTAGGCCCCTTTCTCTCTTTGCTCAGCGGTGTCAAAATTCATCCGAGGCCCAAACGGAATCATACTTGACAGTTTAATACAACACCAAATAAAGTCCATGAGTTTGAGTGGACGGCAGAATGTAAACACCCAGGAGCCAACCACATGGTTATTATCAGTGAGTTTCAGATTGATTCTTAGAATGCCCAACAACACTAAAAGCCGCACATAGGACTCAGTCACCAAATCCAGCAAAAGAAAACGGGACTCGGTTTCATATCTACTATTGGTTTGGATTTGTGCCGAAGCAGCAATATTGTACTGTGTGTTGCTGTCTTAATTGGGGCTATCATTGAGGTGTATTAACCTTACCATTGCAACTCCTTTTGTGGTCTCAATTGTTGCACTGCAGGTTAGAATTTCTGTCAACTTCAATGTACTGTGGTCAACTGTGTTATCCTGGTAACTGAACGCACATCACTCTGACCCACGGGAACTCCTCCCGGAAGCAAACTATTTCCAGAGAGGGATTTCCACGGTCGACAAGAATTCCAACGAGATCCTTCAAGGAAACTTGTTCAGAAATAGCCCAAATCAGACCTCACAGCAATCTGAATCAACACACTACATATAATTACTCATTGAGTTGATAATAAGATAGTAATCCTTCTATCTGATATACCGCCCTTCACGTCAGAAAGTCTCAAAGCGCTTCATATGATGTACGGTA